GTTCTATGACAATTAGCTGCCAATACCCATTGTGGGCAATACTAAACCATATTTCTTCCACGTCAGGGAGGGTGATATCCCTTTCAATAAGAATCCTTACAATAGAAGGCCTGAATAGGTTGAAGGTGGGTATGTCCAATTTCATAGGTCTCCCTAGTGCAATTCAAATAGAGTAGAGGGCTTGGTGATTAAAGTAGTACAACTTTAAACCAGATAGTTTAAACCAGATTAGAACTATAGGGGGTTATTAGCTAGAGTCAAATTCAGGAGACCACTTGAGCAATTTCATATATTTCCCATCAATCGTCATATGCTTCTTAAAAAATATTTTAGCATAGTCTTTTTCTTTTGATAATTGTATTATCACATGCATGCCATCAAAGAGAACAACCTTCCAATCTCCCAATAGTGGGAAATCTTTAAAAGCCTTTCGAATGATTTCCAATTTAGGATGTTCCAGCTGGAACTTTCCAATGAGAGTAAATTTGCACTTTTCAGGTAGGTTGGAAACTTCAACATAAGAGAAAATTAGAGCTAGTTTGTCACTCTTCTTACTAGCCTTCTTGATGAGGTTATAATCCCCTTTGTCTTCAAATGATTCATGGTAAACCTGAGGGAAGGCCAGATTATCCATTGATTCCCCAGAGTCCCTTAATCCAACTATATCAACATAAGAAGTATTCCCAAGGTTTAAAACTGAACCAGACGAGACTTGAGGAGGAGCAAAAGTCATATAAACCAAACTTGTGACTAAAGCAGATGAGCTAGATAGATGAGAACCAAAGGAATCGTACTCGCGATTTGTTCGAGAACGCGTGCGTACGAGTGGTCGAATGAGGAACGATGGCATGAAAGGGAAACAACCACACAATCGGTCCAAGTAGATGAGTCGAGTGATGAACAATGCCCTAATCTAGTCACACGAAAAAGAAGAAGCTTCGAACAGTGCATGCAAAGTCGCACTGTGTAGATGAAGACAAAGAAGCCGTTACGAGGAGCAGAAAGAGACGAGATGTGCATTTGATCTGCCGAAGCCCTAGCTCGGATAACCATTCTCATCTCCAGAGCGCTCCTTCACGCCATATCGGGTCGCCATATATATATATATATATATATTTATAAAAAACCCAAGAGTTAATATATTAAAGAGGAAAAGATACATATAGATTGTATGTGAGGGCCTAAAAGAAGGTCCAACTCATACAATACAACACAAAAAAACTCAATAAAATAAAGATACATAAATATAAAAAAAACCAAAAAAGCCACAAACGGGCGCAAAAGTGCTAGGGACGTCCCACTTTAGTCCTCCATCTGCCTCTAGTTCTCGGAAGAGAGCCGACTAACAAATTGGTAAGGTGCGTATCATAACCCGAAGTAACCAATATATCATCTATCAGATTTCTGAGCTCAAGTAGATCTCCATTCTTCTTATTTCTCCTGGATGTGTATACCTGTCATTCCTCATCCGAGGATTGACTTATCTGATCAATGGATTGGTCCAAAGGTGGCCGGACAGGTGTAGGCCGTTGCACAGCATGATCCCCATGAGTCTGAGTAACATTGATCCCCATGAGTCTGAGTAACATTGACATCTTTCTGGACCTAATGAGGCGATAGCGAAGCAACAGAAGTATTTTCACCTGTATTATCAGTGATAGGTTCTAGGCCAGGCGGAGTCTGAAAAATCTCTCGTCTCCACGACAGGAGGTTCCAAATACGGGGGAGCTACAACATTGTGTGCAGATTGAATGACTAACATATTGTCTGCGGGGATAGTGAAGTCTTTAGGTGTATCTTTTTGATGATCAATCGTGTCAATAACTTGGAGTTGTTCAAGAGGAGATGAAATCATTGCCTCTAGCGGAACATTTTGCTTTTTTGGTCTGAGGTGGGGGTGTAGATGATGTCATTGAGAACTGGAGTGGCCGAACATACGATAGTTCGAATAATATGAAGGAAAAGACTAAATCTTTACCTTCTACCAATATCCATGGTGCTATATGCTCAACCAGATTTCCTCAGAAGTGGAAGAAGTATTATCTCTTTCAACAAGTACTCTGGCTTCAGATGAATAAGAAAGATTAAAACTAAGAATGTCTGTCTTGAGTGGCTTGCCATAAGCTGATGCAATAAATTACAACACTTTTTGAGAAAAATAATGAAAATTCGGACCAGGGAGGTGAATCCAAACCGGAATGATTAGCAGTTTCGTTTTTGGGTCAAAATCCACAGACCATTTCAGAATCTTCATTGCTCTGTTATCAATCCAGATTATCCTTCTAGCAAATAAGCACGTGTAATCTTTTTTGTTATTAATTTGAATAAGAATGTGTCTCACATCTAATAATCCAATTATCCACTCCCCAACAAGGTGCATAAGTTCAAATTCCTTGCGCATAAGCTTCATTTTGGGATGACCATATAGAAACTTGCCAACTAAATTTAGATGACAGGAGGAAGCAAGTTGAATACCTTCAGTTTCTGTAAAAAAGATGACAAACTTCTCATTCTTTCTACCAGGTTTCTTGTTGTCTTCCGCCCACTCAAACGAAAGAGAGAAAGATGATGATTTAGGTATACCTGAGGCACGAACACCTGTAAGGGAAGTGATACGATCTATCCGAAACCATCCTTAGAGTGCTGCGTTAAGAGCAGAGAAGAAAGTAGCTCTGATAAACAAGGGAAAAATTGCGTCGAAACAGTGAAAAGCTAAAAAGGAGAACACGGGACGAGCAACAAAGGAGCCACAAAAATCGTGAGCTGTACCCGTGAGACGGGAAAACAAGCTGCAGAACCCGCGAGACAAAAAGACAGCCGCAGAGGAGCTGCTGAGGCGGGAACTCCCGAGCCGGGAAAGCTCTCGAGACAGGAAGGCGGGAGACGAGTGGAAGAAGCAATGAAGCAGTTGTTAAGGTTTGCCATGAGGCGAAACCCTAGCAGAGCCGAGCGGGAAGGGAAACAACGCCATTCACACACACACACACATCTATTATTTAAATGTTAAACTATTAAAATCCCAAAGTTAGATGGAGAAAAAGTGATGCAAACTTCTCTTATGAGGGAAGAGGAAGAATCACAGACTTGAGAGGCAGAGCCAAAACTCTATTTGTGGGGCCAAATAGAAAGATGTATTAGGGTTTTATGATGTTAATTAATTGAATTGAAATAATTCTTTACTTACTAAATGCTAATGATAGGTTTAACTTAATTAGATATTAAAGGCAGAAGATTTGGGGCTAGCTCAAATAGAAATGTAAGGGCAAAGAGGAATCTTGTGCACAAGTAAGCAAATCAATGTTTTTAAGGTAAGGATTTTCTTGTTTAAATGTGTCGTTTTTAATTATTTGTCATTAGATAAATTTTGAGTTCCTATGAGTAGAATTATTGAGAATTTTTTATTCAAAAGCTATGTGAAAGAAAATATTTAAATAAATTTGATATATTTTAAGTCTTTCTTTTAGGATGAAATTCTTATAACTATATGCACTTTTAACTGAAATTGTTGAGTGAATGAAGTGAAATAAAGGAATAAGCTTTTACAAAGTACTTTTAAAGCAAGTATCAAATTAAGATTTTTATTAAAAAAATTACAACATTGCTTTACATACCTGTTTTTAAAATCTAAGACATATCGTGAATGGAAAAATTTCTGAAATAAATGAAGTGAAAATAAAATTTAGAAAGTAATGATTTCAATGGTTTTAAATGAAAGTAATTAAAATTAATGAAATGTAAAGATTTAAGTCATCTGGATTACCCTCAGATGATACTGGTGGAGGATGTAATGTATCTGTGCACGAAAAATAAAATGAAAAATGATAAATGTAAACCTTCAGGTGTAAATTTTTTAGAGTATCTTTGAGTACAATTTTGAGTATACATTTGAGTATAACTGTAATCCTAATATGACTTCTTAATGTAGCCAAAAATGATAAATACTTAAATTGAAATGGGAATGGACAAAATTTAAAATAAAAGCTAACTCTAAACCCTAATTAATGAACTTCGTATTTTTTTTTATCAGTCATGCATAATATTTGCATACAAATTTAATGCATATTAAGATTATAATTGCTCACTAAGTTGTGGTAAACTGACTATTGAACTTGATTGTTTTTTTTTCAGAAAAAGAAAAACTATAAATTGTTTGTCTGACATGAAGTATTTCGTTTGCAGGAGGCTTACTCTTAATAGATATTATGATTGTAGTTTCTATGTATTATTTTCTTCTGGTTATCAATATATTATTATATGCCGGTTTGAGATATCATCTACAAACTGTATTTTTTTGGATGTTTTGATTTTTATATGGTATACTTTGTGGTTTCTTAGTGACTCTTTTATATATTGGAAGTTTCTTGAAATCTATGGAAAGTAAATTAAATATTAATACCGTTTGACTGCATTTGATCATGGAACTGTGGTTATTACTATCAATAAATGATTTCTATCGGGTAAAGTGTCAAAATAGTCTCCTAACCATTTACATGAGGTCATATTAGAGTCCCAAAGTCTATTAAAGTGTTTAAATTAGTTCCCAAACTTTTTAAATTCGAGCTAAAACAATTCTCCATCAAGACAATGTCAGTCCATATTAAAAGAATTTGGGGACTAAATTGACACTTTTATAAACTATATGACTTAAATGGCTCTTTTCAAAAAGCCAAGCGGCTATTTTAATACTTTTCTCTTTTTCTTTGGGAAGGTTATTAATGTTATTATTCAGTAATCCACCTGATTCTCTATACATGTATATTGCCTCCTTTATCTGATCATTTCATATCAGGTGAATTTTTTTCTTTAATGGATCAATACCTTTCTTTCTTTTGTTTGATTTCCACTCAACACTCTTAAAAAGATGGGCTTGAATTTAAAATTATAGTGGATCTTATATTCATATGTTTGAAGCATGCATGGGGTGGCTTCCTTCTCTTTGAGGTTTATGCTACTGTTAGTGTGGCTTTTGAGATACTCTAACCCCTCTTACTTAACTACAGGAAAAACCAAGCAACCTGGCAAAAGCAAGGCCTATTCTGTCGGAGTTCAAAATGAAATTACTCCACCTGCAGAAGGTATAAATGGATGAAACATCAGTAGAATTCTTTGTGAAGAGTAAGCCATCTCTACAGCTATTTTTCTGCTCCTCCAGTTTCTGCTGTTTTATTCCAATATTTGCTGATGAACAGAACAACCATTATTTGGAAATGAGAGTTTTTTTTGGTCTGAGTTCTATTTCAAATTTCTGCAATAAAATTCTTTCTGCTGTAATTTATGTCAAAAGAACTGTAGCATTTGTTTCATCAGATAATTATAATAATAATGTCCTGTAGGGCATTTGCTTCTCTTTCAATGTATCCCCACCATCTTTCTACTAAACATTGCAAGTGCTTTTCGGTTCAATAGATAACGATTTCAGTTAAATATTACTGAATTTTATCAAGCTTTCAGTTTTGGAGATGCACGTGCGAAACTTTTAGTGGAAAGTACTTCGTAGCCGTCTATATCCATCCAGTCACCACCGACCTGCCAGCTAACGGTGATTTTTTCATGTCTATTTCTTCACATCTAACTTCCACTAATTATATGATGCATGTTTTTTACTCGAGCATGATTTACATAGATATCACTTTACTCCTATGTATTTACATATATGCCACCTTAACTATGCATAAAAAAGAAAAGAAAAAAAAAAGTATTTCACTTTTTCTTAAGTTAAAAGATTAGTCTTTTTTATGTGATATGAAAGATTTGGGTGGCTTAAATGTAAACATAAAAGTTAGTTGTTAGATATGTAAACAAGTAGGTATTCGGTGTTATGTATGTAAATGCCCCTTTAATCAAAATTTAAAATAAATAAAGTTGCTTATGGCAGTAATGATATGAAAGAGTTTGTTCGAAGTAATTATTTCATACTTATTTTTCAGTTATCTGCCAGACTCTTATGAATGTCAACTTTTCTATAATTTCTTGAAGCAACCAGATCTATATTATAGTGGTAATTATTTTTAGATATAACGGCATTTATTCACCCCAAATAAAGCTTTGATTCAGGTGCAGTTCTTGGAAAATTTTAATTTTTGAAAGCTGTTCTAGGTATGGCAGATTGATTTTTATTTGAAAATATTCAAAAAGGTTTGATAATAATTTTCCTAGGGGCATTTACATACATATAGCTGTGCTTATTAATTCATGTATCTAACACAAACTTTCATATTTATATACATAACACTCAGAATTCTGACCATTAGCTTTTGGAAGCGAAATATTTTCATTAATAAGTTTATGGCCCTAAATATTTAGAGTACAAATATCGAACATTATGTTAGGTATAGAAATAATAAAGAATTGTGTTGCATATATGTGAATTTCTCATTTTGTTTTTACAAAGAAAGTGTTTCTCACCCAATAAATTAAAGATTTGAGTATATTCTAGACTTCATAATTGGTGTTAAAGCCCTCAGCGTTTAGGATGAAGATTAGTTGTCTACCGGTTTCTGTGCTCCACGGGATGAGCTGCATTCTGCTTAGATGTGTGCTGGTTTTTTTTAGTATTCGTGGTATATATGGTAGTATTGTTGTGTAATAATATCACAATACCTCCAATACTATCATGATTGTCATCAATAGCATCACTGCAATCTTGATGCAATACTTTCTCCCCTGACTTTTACATGGGTAATCTATTTGACGTGATAATTGCATGGGAAGTTTAAGCGTTTTAGTTCTTGGATATTCTCATTGTAGCAAATTATTATTTTCTAAATAATTAAACACAGAGTTTTGAAAATGTATTTAAGTAAAATTTTATTTATTAATTGAATATTACATCTAAAATTGTGGTTGGTTTTTTTTATTTTATAATTTAATCATTAATTAAAATCAAAATTTTAATCTTAGAATAAGAATGTTTAATATAATGCTTGAAATTATTTTAATCCTTTGTCAATTTAAAAGAATTTTTTTTTTCAATTTTACTGATATATGTATATATTAATGAGCGTGAATTACTGAAATTAGAATACAATGACATTTAAAAATATGATTAAAAATTTTTATATAAAATTATATTAATTAATTCTGCAATAATTTTTAATGTTAAATTAAAGATATTAAAAAAAAAAAATTCTTTTTTAGCCTCCTATTAATAATGAGAATAGAAATTCTTTTAAAGTTGATTATTTATGCTCGGGAGTTGAATCGGTAAAAAGAGGGTAAATAGTATATATTTGATATTATATAATAGAGATTAAAGTTGGTATTGAGTTTGAGATTTTAGTATAGCACAAAATTAAATAAAATTGACAACGTATTGTTAGATAAATCAGGTTCAAAAAATGAATAGAAATAAGTATATAATTATAGTTATAATATGTGTGAGATATTATAGAATATGAGTGTTTATAGAAATATCAAATCATAGACAACTTAAAATTGATTATTCGGTCAGATGAATTTCATTAATTGGCTACAAAAGTGCTTAAACTAAACTAGGATTATGAAATGCTACTAACATCTTAACAACCTTCTACTTTGCAAGGCATATTATCTACTTCACAACGACATGTTAACCAATTCATGAGACGCCACATACATGGCCTTTATAGGCTGATTTTGGCTTTATTTTAACCTCTATGTTACTTTCACAAACCCAAATTTTGACTCCTTATGAAGAAATCATGAAGGGGGTGCTCCAAACTCAAATATCTTGCTCTTTATCACTTTATATCACTTACAATTACCTTTGTCACACATATATGAAATTGCTTACATGATGGCTCTATATGTAAAGGAGCCTAACATGAGATTTGCTATCGAAATATCGTTATTTACAGTAAGTTGATCCTCAAGAAAATGACCACTTAAAACACAAGCTCACCTGGTATAATGACTTGAGAGAGTCAACTGAATATTCTAACCCAACGTATAGTTTGATATATATATATTCAATATCATGTAAAAATATTTTTGATTAAAACTTTTGAAACATTCCGAACATCACATCGGTGTAAAACTATTGCTTCAATCCACTTTAATACAAAGTATACTGCAATTAATATATATATATATATTGGTTAAAGGAGTTGCTTATGACTCCCTACATGTTAAGGTAAAAAAAAGACTATTACAATCATCAGTGAGGGGGCTGGGAATTTCACTATCTGGTTCAATACAGGAACCTAGGAAATCCCCCAAAAATACTTTAGGTGTCACCCTCAAAAAACAAAAAAGAAAGCTACAATGACTCAATAAAAGGAAAACTAAGTGAGGTTGCTTCTGCCCCCAAAGAGATCATTTATCTTTGTTGACTATTCTGAAGTGGGGAACATTTAGGATATCTCCTTGTAGCAGATAAAAGAGAGCAGGTGGAGGGTTAACAGCAACTTCAGTCTTATCAGTACTTGATCCAAGATGCGCCAACCAGTTTGCAGGCTGGTTACCTTCCCTGTAGATAAATGTGAACTTAATTTGCATCTTGCTAGTGAGATCCCTGATTTTGCTTATCCAGTAAGAGTAGTGCCAGGGAGTCTCCTCCTCCAGATTTAAAAGGGGAATAATCACAGCAGAATCCACTTCTAACCAAATTCTATTCCATTTAGCCTTAATGGCAAGGTTAATTGCCCAGTACACAACAATGAGTTCAGTTTCAGTTGCATCATTGGCCAGGACAGGGG